GAAAAATACGAAAAATTCTGAGAATCGATAGCCCTGGTGTTTAAAAGACTTTTACGTATTCAAAGTCACGAGGACTCCAAAAATTCGAGAATTATGAATTCGCAAACAATTCACAGGAGTCCCAAACGACCCCGAGGGAAACAAAATGCGAGATAGAGAGAGAAAAAGAAATAACTGTCATCGCGAGAAAAGGAGATAGGACGCGTAAACGGACACGATCGTACAGTACGAGAAAGAGAGAGAAAGAGAGAATTGATATTTATTAAGCGCTCCGAGACGCACACACACACACACACACACACAATCCTCGCAAGTGCACAACAATTTACAAAAAGATATAAAAAAAATAACACTGTGTATAAAAAGTGAAACAGGATTTTAACTTAAATGTAAGCTGTATTCAGGGTAAGTCGCGTGTGAGTGTGTGCGTGTATGAGTGAGAGAGAGAGAGAGAGAGAGAGACGGGGGGAAAATTGGGCGACGTAGAGGAGGATAGAGAGAGGGCATGCACCGCACTCCGGAATTCTGTCGGAGTGCGACGGCGCGGAGAGTATCTACCTGTCAGCGTGCATTCCACGATCCCACGATCCGCATGTGTTCTCGGCTCGACGTGCACGTTGGTGCACGGTTTCCGTTTCGCCGAGCGTAACTCCCCGTTGTTCGCCACTCGCCGCGCACTCGCGCTCGTTACCGCTCGGCGCGCTCGCACTCATACGGGTGCAACACACCGCGCCGGGCACTCTCCACTCGTCGTCACACACTCGGACCCTTTGTCGCGCGTCGTCGCCCACGGCGAGCGACGTCAAAGCAACCGGTGACGTGCCGCGACGCGCGAATATGGCGCGCGCACCGATCACCGTCGATCCGCAGCTTGGATCGCACGCGCTCGGAGCAAAACGCGAAACGAGAAACGTGGTTGTGAGAATACTCCGAGGAGCGACCGAGGAGGATCGCGCCGCACTCGATCGCGCGATTTCTTCCCCACGCGAAGCGACTCGCCACTTTGCCTCTCCCGTATCGTCGCTTCGTATCTCGTTGCCGCTTTTTGTTTTTGTTTCGCGACGCGAAATGACGGCGAACGTGCACGTACGCGTGCACAGTCGCTCCAGACCGGACCGGAACGAGACACGACTACTCGGCTTTAAGCACCGCGGGGTAAATACTACTACAACGAAACGCGCCGCTCCAGCCGCGGCACGGCCGTGCCGACCAATCCCCACCCGAGCCGCGCTACCACGTGGTAGCTGCGCGGCCAATCGCGCGCCGCGAAGTCCCTCAATGGCGACGTTCGTGAAGCCATCTGTCGATTGGATCGGACTCGAGCGAATTCGGCCGCTTCGATCGATCGGTCGGTCGTTCGATCGCGTTTGAAAATGAATCCTTCCTTTTAATTTCTCGTCGCGACTGATCGCGATAAATAAATAAATGTACGGATACATGGTTCTTTCAATATTCAAACGTGATCTAGAAAGTCCCAAAACATTCCAGTAAACATCAACGAACAGTAATATATAAGATCAATGTTATAATTTCGCTCAACACTGTAACTGTTATGTACTCCATAAAACTTTTAAAACGAAACTTACTTTGAAGAGCGAAATCTCACTCTTAAAGATTGAAAATTGGGCCACTCTTTTTCACAACTATTTCAATTTTCACTAAGTCACTTCTATCAATGTTATTTAATTTTGAACTTGGTTCAACTAACTCTTCATCATTTTCTAGTTCTAGAAATAGAAAAAAATGAAGAGCAAGTTAAATTGAGATTAAAGTTAATCTACATTGAAATAAGAATAATTCACTTTTTAGAGTGAGATTTCACTTCAAAAATTAAAAAAAAGAGTACAACACGTATTATATTTACTTCTACCACTTCTACCACTTCTATCAATGTTATTTAATTTTAAACTTGGTTCAACTAACTCTTCATCATTTTCTAGTTCTAGAAATAGAAAAAAATGAAGAGCAAGTTAAATCGAGATTAAAGTTAATCTACATTGATAGAAATGAGAATAATTCACTCTTTAGAGTGAGATTTCACTCCAAGAATTAAAAAAAAGAGTACAACACGTATTATATTTATATTATATTGTTAAGTATGAAATCGTAATATTGATGTTACGTTAGTTGGCGTTCATATACTGGAATTTTTATTAACATTTTGTATTACCTTCATACGCGACCCGCAGACACGTCCCGAGGTCGATTTCAAACAAACGCGCACCACGCTTACGCGACTGGAATTGTTAACGAGCCGCTTTCATGTTGCTTCTAATGAGATTCAATGGCGCATTGGTATCCCACTACCAGCTGTCCGAATGAATCATCCACTCATTACGTCATTATTTACTTAACTCTTTAAATTGAACACGTTCCGGACTAATTAGTTCTTGAGATAACATTTATTTTCGAAATAATCGATTTCTTGATGTTACTTACATTTGTGTCACGTTTTGAGGAGATGGTATATAGTACGTACATACATCGATCGTCGATCGATTGTTCGCCACGCGATGTCCCGCGGCGACAGCTTAAAACGTAACGTAGAAAGAACTTGATTCCGCATGACCGTGAATTTTTTTGATATTCGATGTCGGTGACCCGGCTCAGAAAAAAAAAACCAATCCCGTTATACATTCGTGCCGTTCACCCGAAATGCCATAATCATTCGAGCCGAAATTTTGAAACTGTTGAAGCTATAGATTATTGAACTCTCTTGATACTTTCATTGTTTATACCTCGCCTCGACTTATAAGATGTCAAAACATCTTAATAGAGTTCAATATTCAAGATTTGTTTAAGTCAACATCCGCGTAGAATTAATTTTTATTGTAGGGATATATTATATAGGTGTTCTAATATATACAGTATTGAAAATTTATAGTTTACGCTACGCAGACTAAAATTTCAGTACTAGATCTAAATTATAAATTCATCAAGTATTAAAGATTTTAAATAAAAAATGTAGTGGAATAATTTCCTTTACCGCGGGAGGCAGATTTCCGCAAGCGAGAATGATCTGAAATCTATAAAAGTGAAATATTTTTGTTAACCTTTACAAGAGAGCCAGTACTGACATTGAAACAATGTCATATTTTGAGGAAAGAAAAAAGTTTTTATTTTGAATCACCTCGGCCTTTGAAAATCTATCGACTGTTCGCACAACAGAAGGAAATGTTTTTCATAGTCTATATATTTTTTTACCAAAAATCTTTACTTGGCGTAATTTAGAGAGAGATATGTCATAATGTATATTTAAAATAAATTCTACGCAATAGTTAACTTTAAAAAACATCTTGAATTTTATGTAACGCAATGGACGACGTTTTACGAATAACTCAAACAAAACGAGAAAAATTCGTGGAGATTCATAGAAATTTATTAAGACATGCATTGCACGCGATTGCTCTCATTAGCTATAGAATACGTCCAAGCGTTTTTGTTCCGCTCACATCTACACTATCATACTTCTTATTTGATATCACTTTAAGAGATTGGAGGTAAAGTATGACTGCATGCTTCCGTTACTTAAAAAGGAGATAAGGGAACCATTAAGATTGGAAATTGGAAGCTGTAGAATTTGTTGTGAATGCTTTTTCTTCGTAACAGATGCTGGACTTCTTAAGCGAGCAGAAGAATCAGTAAACTCGCGCTAAAGACCTTCATGGGGAGTATCGCTCGACGTTCGCTATATCGGACATCTTGAGAAGCGATATTTCTCACTTCGGTCTCTGAAAAATTTTTATTTACAATGACATGAGACCAGCAATAAATTTAGTCAAAACTTGTTGATTGAAAATTGAATTAAGTTAAACGATATATTTTGCGTAATTTCGATTTAATTGTTACGCGATCTTCCGAAAATTATGAAATTTCAAGATGTCTCTGTCCTAGAGAGAAAAGAAAAGAGAAGAAAATACGATGCTCTTTTCATCTTGACGCGTCCTCACCGTATTCGTAATATTGCGACGGTTCCGTCGACTCCTCCTCGCACTCCTCGGTAGCCGATTTGATCCTCATACCTTCTTGTCTTTCACGTTCACCAGCCTCACCCCTGAGCGGCACGTAACCGGATCTCGCAACGCGATTCCTGGCGGCGATCGCGACCTAAAAAACGTGACAAGAGTTTCGTTCTTCAACACTAACCATAATCGTAGACCTCCTTGGGTTCCTCGTTCACCGTTTCTTCCTCATCCTGCTCCGCGGTCTCTTCGTCGGTGTCTTCGTCATCGAGCTTATCCTCCTCATCGTTCTGATTTCCCTCCTCCTCTTCTTCTTCCTCTTCCTCGTTCTCATCTTCGTCGTTCTTCACTGACGAACGATAAAGTCTGCCCTCGTCGAGCTTATTTCGAGGCTGGCGACGATGTCCTCGTGCAACGTTATAGTCGTGGCTGCGATATACCTGCTTGGCTTTGCGCGGATGTTCGAGAAGACGACGTTGCGGTGGTTGCATGAAACCCCCGTAAAAAAGAGGCTCTATATGTAATGCGCATCCGTGGATATCTTTCATAATTACGTCCGAAGCAGGCGATCTCGGAAAGTCCCAATAATCAAAACCGTCGCCGGCAGTACGAATGCCCGATAGAATTAGAAGTATGGATAAAAGAGCGGACATAAACATAGCCCGAGTCTTATCATCATCGATCATTGCATAGCAACGCGAACATATACGCGATTAGATCAATTGCATACAATCGAATACAATCGCTCGAAGTAATTTTGTCATAAACCTATCTTCGGCACGAATATAAAAATATATCTTTTTTGTACCGTACAACTAGGAATTTTATTTCTTCTATAATGGGTACTGTAGCTTATAAAATATATTTTGTATAATTTGCAATTATATTAGAAAAAGTATTTAAATTTAATGATATAATTTTCTTAAATATAATCAAAGTAATAATTTTTAAATCAATATAAATATGAGTATATATACACACGTGGAATGTACATTTGACTCTAACACATATGTATTCATAGATATTTTTATCCATTGCTCTCAAATCTAAGCAGGATGATTCTCCAGGTACGTTTTAGTCACAATGTCAGAGCGACACTGACTTAAATCTATATAATCCAGACTGGTGCAACCCACCACAGGACATCTGTGAATGCAAACATAAACGCTTATAGTAGCATATCCCAATATTTGACATGATGTAAAAAACATACCTAGTGTTCTTATTCTTTTCTAACATCGCGACAAGGCTTGCTTTATCGTATACGTGACCACAGACTGCATTTCTCACAGGATCAGTCATTCTTATCTTTGAGATTGGATCGATTATATTTATTTTGCTGCCTGTCAACCGTAGATCAGCGTCCGCATCATCTGGCACGTTAGATTCAGCTTCGTTGGCTACAAAATTTGTGTTAATCTCAGAAAGAAATACATAAAAATAAACCTCAAGTGATTGGTACTAGAATTTTATAAACAACAGTGTCAGCATTTTTATGTTATTGTGCAGGTATTATATATAGGGTGATTAATTTTAATTTTAACAGACAAATATTTCGAAAATATGCAATTTTACTAAAAAAAAACATTCCAAATAAAAGTTGTGTGATATAGAAAGATACATACCAGTGATATCTTCCTCTATACAACTTTTATTTAAAATGTTTTTTTGATAAAATTGTATATTTTTGAAATATTTGCCTGTTAAGATTAAAATTACCTTGTGTATAAAAAAGCTGCGCAATGACAATGTAATGATATAGACATTGTTAAAGAGTTACAAAATTCCAGTGCTGAGATCATTCATTTCAGACTTTACCTAGACACAGGCCTTCAATCTGACGATCATACTTCAACAGTCTGCTGTCTTGTAATGGATTAACTTGGATTTCAGATATAGCCTTCTTATATTCCTGTTACAAACAATAGCAAGCAATTGTAAATTTCAAAAATCAAACTGACAACTCTTTGATTTGAAGCGGTCATTACTGTTGTGATGTTTTTCACGTCTTTTTCTGAGTCTAACTCAGACATACATTCCAGTTGCTCTTTAATCTCATTTGCAGCCTTTATTCTCGCAGACTCCTTACAATTGGCTATTAAGGCTTCTCGTATCAGCTTCAACATTTTTTGTCTCTCTTCTTCATTGTCTGAAAATATAACATAAAATTAACACAACATATTTTATTTTCTTGCCAGCGAGCGAGAGAGCAAGAGCGAGAGAGAGCGAGAGAGAGCGAGAGAGAGCGAGAGAGAGAGAGAGAGAGCGCAAAATCACAATAAGTAAAGCACTTTGTATCTCTAACTTTCTACGCTTGAAATGAGACTCGAATGCAAAAAAAGAACAAAGAAAATTCGGAGAGAAGCACTTGGAAAATTTTGTTTCCAACCTCAACGAAACCTCGCTATAGTATCTCACGTTCCTCGTCGTTCTCACAAAACAATCGTCAAGTTTCTATCTTGAACAATACGCTAATATAAGAGACGAGCAAAGAAAACGCAAAAATGCGGAGAAAGAAGCACTTAGAAGATTCTGAACATATTTCTAACCTCGCTGAACCCTCACCGAAGTATTTCATGATGTTCCCCGCCGTTTTTAAGAAACAATCATCAAGTTCCTCTATCATTTGCATATTTTGTGTCATTTTCGTGCGATTTTATCTATTCTGTTGATAATATCGATACTGGTTGTCCAATTCCTATCAACCCGATCTTTAAACAGACTGCCGAACTGACGCCATTTAACGAACATTTTTAAACCTACGTTTTGGGATCAAAACGAATATTTTAATGTTTGAAAGAAAGAAAATAAAGACTAAAAAGTACAAAATATTTAACCATATAAAAATTCATATTTTTTTGTAGATTTTTGTCGTATCCTTATCAGTCGTATCTCGTATATCATAAGATTCTCGGTATGTATATAAATATATATATATATAACTCTGCAACCAATCAGAAAACAGGATTCCGATGAATTTTGCTTCGTATTATCGGAATCCTGTTTTCTGATTGGATGTAGAGCGTACGACGAAAATCGGATGCAGTGTGAATCCAGCATAAGAAAAATATAAATTTTTGGCCTTTTTCAGGCTGGAATCAGACTACGCATTGAAGATCGAGATTGAAGATTGAAGATTAAAATTTGACCAGTGAGGACAAAGGAATTTTAGCTCCTATCCTATATTTTGATTGGTCAAATTTCAATCTTTCAATCTTCAATCTCGATCTTCAATGCGTAATCTGATGCGAGGTCTACAATAGAAGTCGTAGTGGTCGTAAGGGCTTAAGTCGTAGAAAATTGACCAATCACAGTCGAATATGAGAAGAATAATCAACTGTGATTGGTCAATTTTCTACGACTTAAGCCCTTACGACCACTACGACTTCTATTGTAGACCTCGCATCAGATTACGCATTGAAGATCGAGATTGAAGATTGAAGATTAAAATTTGACCAGTGAGGACAAAGGAATTTTAGCTCCTATTGTTTTGATTGGTCAAATTTCAATCTTCAATGCGTAGTCTGATTCCGGCCTTACGATTGTTACGACTTCTATTGTAGACCCCGCATGATTTCGGCTTCATGCGGGGTCTACAATAGAAGTCGTAGTGGTCGTAAGGGCTTAAGTCGTAGAAAATTGACCAATCACAGTTGATTATTCTTCTCATATTCGACTGTGATTGGTCAATTTTCTACGACTTAAGACCTTACGACTGCTACGACTTCTATTGTAGACCCCGCATCAGACTCGTTCGAGTCTCAATATTTGTTACGGAAAATCACTCAGAGTTGCCAATCTATAAGAATATTTTATCTATGCCCGTCGAAAAGGCGCGCGAAAAAAGGGGGAAGGGGGAGATTGGATTATTCCATCCGTCAATACGAAGGTGGACTGCTAAAAGTGAAAGTAGTTGGCCTTTGCCTTTCGTTGTTACATTTCGAGTTGAAACTGTATCAAACCGAACATGTCCGTCGTGAGAGGCGTTACGATTCTCTTTGTGCTCTCAGTAAGTAAAACCTGTTATTGAATTCCAAAAAGATTTAAAAAAAAAACGACTAACAAGATTTAAACAGTAGTCGCGCAAATCACAAATAAGAAATTGATCTATAATATTTTACAAGACGAATAGATTTTGTCTGATATTTCTAATCTCTTAAAAAAATCTCTCACGATCATGATTTTTACAAAATATCTTCGCAAAAAATATTAATTTTTCATCAAGTTCAATCTTTAGGGAAAAGTTCGACGAAAATGGCGCGGCGGGAAAATGACGGAGATTAACGATATGCAATTTAAGACCACAAAAATGTTTACAAAATATTTAAAATAAATTTTATAAATATTTTGTAAATATTTTATAAATATTGTGTGCTGTCTGGGATTGGAATGAAAAGAAATGTGCATTCAACTGAATTAAGGCGTCACAAATGAGAATTATCTCAATTTTTATGTAAATAAAAATAAGTAACTAATTTCGATAACTAGTAAACTATGTTCGATATCGCGTTTCTCTCGGATTAAGGTGTCTTTTCATGCAGCGCTCGTCGCGTCGCTCATTTTTAAACGATGAAAAGGTCACGTGATTGAATGTTAGAATTTTCATTGGTGACAAATCACTCACGTGGTCTTTTTGTCGCTTGAAAATGAACAATGAGCGATGTATAAAAAAGTACTGTTAATTGGAATCAAAGTAATTATTTATCAATTCAATCTAATGATTTGTTGAATTCATAATCAGTTTAAAATGGCGATTTGCCTTCGCTAGAGTCAAGTTTCCCGCCATAATGTATTATGTAAGTTTTTATCGTGATGATAATACACTTTCGACAATTATGACGACAATCCAGATTATTCCACATTCCGGTCTAATTCCTGCTTTCTCTAAGAAGTACAGTCTTGTGCTCCGAATTGTTGTATCTGTTGTCACTCATATTTTAAGCTGTAGTTAAGAATTATTATCGTGTATAATTAAGATAGTTATAGAACGCAATTTATTGTATTCATTAAGATTTTGCTTATATGCTTATTTAGATGCTAACGAGAGTCTGTTTTCTGGCGACGAGTAAGACCGTTTCATATAGTACAGTAAGAAACATCGCTGCAATGTCGAAGTTTGATTTACCAAATCGTTTGAAGGGCAATGAAAAGTCCGTCTGGTAAGTAACATTATCTTACAGATATATTAATGTTGTAAATTTTTACGTAGACTCATAAAAACTCATTATTACATATGTATTGGTTATGTTTTGTTTGGTTAGGGTCGAATATATCCAGCTCGGTCTGCAGTACAAGCCACTGAACTTAGGTCAAGGTTTTCCTGACTATTACGCGCCGGAGAATGTGACAAACGCCCTGGCTGCTGTCGCTAAAAGTGACAATCCACTTATGCAACAGTATACGAGAGGATTTGTACATAACAAGTTTTCTATTCGTTGACATTCGAATTGTTTTGTATCTTATATATAATTTTTCTTTATCTCTCATTAATTTGATAGTAACTTGATTTTTATGAAACATTAACAGAGAGAGTGTTGTAATTATAATTGTTATCAGTAACTAGCATTGATAACATCTATGTATGGTAAAATGAATTTTATTTCACTAATGTAAATGTGAATATTGCAGGGTCATCCAAGATTAGTGAATGCTATTGCAAAGTTTTACTCCAAGCTTATCAATCATGATTTGGATCCAAACAAGGAAGTACTGGTCACTGCTGGTGCTTACGAAGCATTATATTCTAGTCTACAAGGCCATACTAACCCTGGAGATGAATGGATCATCATTGAACCTTTCTTTGATTGTTATGTACCTATGGTACAATCTGCCGGAGGAATTCCCAGATACATAGCATTAAAACCGGTAAAAAGTTTAGATAATAAGCGCAAGAAAGATCCTTTTTGCATTAAATATATAATATTATGTACTCGCGCAGAAATCTACATCAGGCACAGTTACCTCTGGCGATTGGGTATTCGATAGGAAAGAAATGGAAGGTCTCTTCAATGAGAAAACTAAAGGTATCATCATCAACACTCCGCACAATCCTATAGGAAAAGTATTTACGCTGGATGAATTGCAATTTATTGCCGATCTCGCAAAAAAATGGAATGTACTTGTTATTTCTGACGAGGTTTACGAGCACATCGTTTACGAACCGTACAAGCATATAAGAATGGGTAAGAGTTGCCTTACAAAGTTAGTCATACGCGATATAGTAATCGTAGAATGGCATCTAAAAAATTATTCTTTTAATTAGCGACGTTGCCCGGTATGTACGAACGCACAATCACGATTGGATCAGCGGGAAAAACGTTCAGCGTTACAGGTTGGAAAATAGGTTGGGCCTACGGACCAGCGAATTTGTTGCACAATCTACAAGTGGTACATCAAAACTCCGTGTATACTTGTACTACACCAACTCAGGTAATTAATTAAATACAATTTTTTTAATTCTATTATTTTTTTACTTTGATAAATTAGTGAATTACTTTTGTGAATTACTTTTAATTGTAGGAAGCAGTAGCTATCGGATTCGAATTGGAAATGGAACGCTTAGAGCAGCCGGACTGTTACTTCCGCAGTCTGGCAATGGAATTATTACCGAAGCGTGATTATATGGCGAAATTCCTCCGAGAAGTTGGTATGATACCGACAATACCTGAGGGTGGATACTTTATGCTCGCTAATTGGTCTGCATTGGAAAACAAAGTGAAACTGCATGAGGAAACGGACGAGAATAAAGACTATAAGTTTACTAAGTGGATGACGAAGAACGTCGGTCTTCAAGGTATTCCTCCTACGGCATTTTACGGTCCTGAACATAAAACTCTGGCAGAGGACTACGTACGATACTGTTTTATAAAGGTAAGTGTGTGCTATCGCGAAGGTAAATACAATAACTTTGATTAAGACAACAAACGACTTTGGCGTTTGTTAAACATCGATTATTACATTTTAACAGAAAGACGAAAATTTAAAAGCAGCCGCCAAAATCTTGAAGAAATGGGCGTCCCAATAATTGAGATTATGTACATATATATATGTGTGTTTTTGTGTATAATATGTACATTCGGTGACTTAAGTGCTTCGTACACTGATTAATTTTTCAAGTATCTTTCATGCTATTCGAGCACATTGCGCGTACGGAAAGTTTAATTGATATAATTAGGAAAAATTTTATAATTACCCTGACTATGATTTTTATACATTTTTAACGCCTTAAATTAATCAATGTTTCTCAATTTATATATTTGTGATATTAAACTTACAAGCATGTGTGAATCTGTACAGTGTAAACCTTTATACATTTTGATGCGATATAAGATTCAATTAAGTGATCTTGAAGTATCTATCAATTACTATCATAATTGATAACGATCGACCCAAATAAGCATTGTTGTAAAGTTAAATTACAGGTCGGAGTCTCTTCGAAGCCATTTCTTGACATCTTTTGAATCAACTCCGAACGTTTTACCGCATCTACAAAGTAAAGATATTGTTGAAAAAATTGTGTTGTTTTCTTGTACTTAGATCCTCGGATTCTTAGATCCCTGAGTCATCCTCTTTCGTTGGACTCTCATTATTAGATTCCAACTCTTCATCCTTAGATTCTGAGTTTTTGAATCCTTAGATCTCCAGGTTGACATATCCTTCCCTTCAATTCTCGTGTATTTCACTCATGAATTTATTTCATATAACCTAATTAATTGTATTTAGTTAATTAATTAATTAATTAATTAAATTTGCCTGAACATTGCTCCAGGAATATGTCCAAAATAATTCGGTATCATTCCGACGTTTTTATGGTAGATTTCAGTGGATTGGACAAGTAACGGTGGTTCCAGATAGATCTCAGTCGTTATTTTATATTTTACACTTGGTCCTTTTTGACATTTTGCGAAACTGTATAATGCATCGTCGTACGATGGAATAATCGATGTTTCGAAATAGCCGTGAGGAATATGAGTCGCGTATCCTTTGTGAAGTATATTTCATATGATAAGTATATTTTTCTTTAAAAAATGTCGCACATTAAAAAATTAAAAATATTTCTATTTTATGAAAATATAAATTATAGTATCAAACTTTTTGAATTTTTTGCATAAAATATTTATAAAATTCACGAATTGTTTTAAATAAATGTAATATGAACTCATTAAACATAAAATTATGTTATTGACAATGAGACAAACATATACGACCTTACTGTTAATCGCTTACTTTTCGCGTTTTCGCGGATGAAGGAATACCACGTGGGATTTTGTTTATCTGAAAATTTCATTTTATTCGATTGCTAATAACCGTGCGAAAACTAAATTTTTAAGGTACGAAACAATAAATTATGTTATTTAATGGCAAATTCTTCATTGATTTACAGAAACAATTGAACGCTTCATTAATATTAGTGGTCCTATAATTATTATAGGGGACTAATTAATATAGGATATACAATTATTTTAGTTGTCGTTTTGTAATAAATTTGATTTAACAAATTATAAAAAATTTATCTTAACGGTGATAAGAGCTTAGAAATTAATTATGTTGAACAAATTGTAGTTGTATTTGCTCCGCAAATTTTATTCGATAATTTAATTCTGTTTCTTTTCGATGTTTAATTTTATTTTATAATTATTTATACAAGTAGCATAATTTAATAATTTTATATATAAAATGAAGACGTATCATTTTTTGATATTTTGCATTTCTCGTCGGATGATAAATTATTCATTGTTGCATATTCAGGTCGCACAGTAAGCAAAGGTAATTTAAACGAGGTCTTAATTAGCTGTAATAATAATTAAATTATTAGAAATTAAAGAGATATCGTTCTGTCATTAACTTCAAAATTTTGACGATTCTTTAACTCTTTTCTCACCAGACGTTCTTCCAAATTCCGGGGCTCGGCTCGTCCACATTGCACATTGATCGTCCTCCTCAGCCGATCTAAAGCCGCCTTATTTTGCAATTGTTGTCGTTCGAAGTCGGCGAGACCTTCGGTCGCGTGCACCGCGTATCTTTGTCCGAGTCTAATGTTCGATCCTGGTACAAAACCTATACAATGCCCAGTAATCGGTTAAATTTTGAGGAAAACTCGTTCCGCGGCGACGCAGACTCATGATTTTGAACGCATATCGGAAGTTTATACAGATAAGCATTACAAGGAATCGATAAGCACCCTCATATCCTGGCAACATAGGGTGAACGAAGAGAGAATCGGTCCTCTTGAAACGAGTATTGACCGTATCAATATCGCTCTTTGATGGTCGCTGTACATGTGTTTGAAAACGGATAAAAAGTTATTTTTTAAATGCGCGCCATAAAGTGAATCGAGATCTTAAATTTTTTTTTTAATTTATATGTTCATTTTATATATTTTTTATCTTATATTATCTTATCTTTTATTTACTATGTTATCGCCAAGTATAGTACTGCATATCATTCACCTCGCAATCGGTAACTGCACGATCCGCTAGGATAAGTATTTTCGCATGATTAATTGTAGGATCGAGCAGCAGTTTATGCGTGGCTTTTGCGTACGTTTCACCGCAATTGAATCGGTACTGCGGACAATAACCGGAATATCTGAAAAGAATAACCGGACAATTTTCTTGAAATTCCCGAAGTACTCTACATACTGCACCGTTTCATGTTCTTAATATAATAAATTATTGGATTATTAAATAGATCGCTTATTAATTTTTAATTTAAAAATAGAACCGATTGGTTTTATAAGACTTAATTTTCTACCCTGGGATAAAATGAGGATCTGCCGTTATTAAAAGATCCATTTCAGCAGTTATGCTGTGAAATTAAAATTTCTTCAAAAAATCTGTCGAAAAAAAGCAAATTACAACTTTTTATTTCGTATAAGAAATATTTTTCTCGTCTTAACCTGTATAATTTAAATGCATGCTGCCAAACAATTGAAATTCTAGTGATTTCATTCGTTACGAGCCTTTTTGCAGCGGTTTTCGTTGAGTAAAAGAATTAATGCGGGTTGAGAGATAATCAACCGGCAAAAGGGGAGATAGGGATAACGAGGAGAGAGGAAAAAGAAAGAGAGAGTATTTGTGATAGAGTAGGGAGGATACGCGTTGCGTATACTTAAACAGGGGAAGGTGCGTGATTATAGTTTCGCTTTCCAGTTTTCACGGGACCACCGTGACGATAGGATGTTGTATTAACGAGTGCCTCTGACATAAATCTTTAATTGCTTAGCATCCGATATTTGTGTGTGTAATTGAAAATATACATATATACAAAATTTTAAAATGAAAGAAAAGTTTTGTTTATGATAAGATATAAACATAGTGCGGAAATAAACACGATTCATTCTTAGATGACAAATATCAGCAGCGGAAGAGATTTATGATTAAAAAATAACTGATACAATACGAAAAAAAAAATTAGTGATATCATGTGGAATAATTTCATGAATTCGTGAAGTGTTGCGATTGCATTTCTTTTTTATGTTTAAAATGGAAACGAGAAACATGCTGATTACGTGATTAAACAGGTTAATAAATTATTTAGAAAAGGAGAGAAATAGAGGCGAGAATTATGTGGTTCCGTCCAGAGATGAATTCCATCTTTTATGTCGAATCCACATGTAAGACTATAAAAGTGACTAAAGACGAGGTAAACGACTTATTTATGCTTAAGCTAATGACATTTTAATGAAACTGGTAGCAACTAATTATTTCTTAATTGACAGTACACACAGAAAAATATTATTTTATTATTAAGAAATATAATTACTTCCTTTTAAATAACGGTTATCTTCAAGAAAGAAAAATTATTATCAAGAAAGAATATCTTCTTGATAATAATTTTAAAATATATACTTACCATAAATTTTAGAAAAACTCATTATTAAGTATTCAAAACAAGATTGTTTATTTTTGAAAAATATAAAATTGATTGAAGAAGCGACTTTTTATATAATAAGCAGATCGAACTTGTTTTAATTTAATAATCTTGATTGAAATATATATATTAAACTTACTAGGATTCAGAATATATTTTGAATAAATTTGATGCTTATGATGATAAATTTGCGGATATATGAACTCTTGAAATACTTGAAACAAGTAATTATTAATGTAATTTGTATTTTTCTATGTGTATTAATTTAGTATAACGATGTATTAATAACTTTGTACGTATTTTGTTAATGAGCGGAAATAATAGGAAGAGAAAACAAGAGAGATAATTAGATAGAAGGAAAAATGAGTGACAAATTAAGATTTGCGGAAAAGTGGAAATTCCACCTACACTGAGGAAGCGATAATAATAGTGCTTAACAGGAAAAGTGAAACTTATGGAGGTAACACTTAACGCCTGGCCACGTTTATGAGTTCTCCGGATATTTCGACAGCGAGACGAAAGAGAGAGTGGAAAAAGTCGTAAAATTACCCGCATTGCAATTATTCAATTCTATACTTCGCTGAAATTTTAATCTATTTATTTACGTAATGCAACAGAATTGTTACAGAATTGCTTGTTAATGAAAGAATAACATTCCGTGAAGGATTAAATAATATCCCCAGCAGCAATTTATTGGCGATACTTTTGGCTGAACGTTGGGAATATACTTGACCAATATTATAATAAATTTTGCTACTAGAGTCCCCTGATTATTCTACAATATCCATATTTCAATCAATATAGTTATTACAAAAAAATGTCGTGAAATTAAATATTCCCCATGCTGACTCATTGAGCATTAATTACATCGTTTACTTTTGAAGGGAGGGTTTTGACCTGGCCAGATGTATACCAGGTGAACGAATGCAGTTGCATATGTGCAACAAAGAAATACTAATTTTCTCCGTTTTGCTTGGCGTTTGTTTCGCGTCCCCACAACCGGAAGCAACGTTATCACGCATTACTCGCTGCTAACTCGCAGTGTGGGTGTAGGACATATAGCGTCAGATATACATGATAAAAATGTATTATTATACGTTATATTGTACGCATATTATAAACAAAGATTTAATTTTAACGTTTTTAACCCGAAAGTCACGTGCGTCACTTTAAATCGAAATCTAATTTACAAAAATGTTAGATTTTCTATAAAATCGATATAAGTTCCCAGGATTAATATTTTATATTAATTAAAGTTGAAAAATGTAAACGTTAATTGACTACCTGAACGTCTCTTCTTGTCGTGTTACGTCGACGCTGGCAATAAATTAGTAGTCGGATATCAATGCGCAGATCATTAATCTCAGTGAATCAGAAGGTTAATTCATTCATCCTTCACAGACTCTCTTAATTAGAGCTCACCGTGAGTAAATCTATAAATATCAGGGCTGGAATAATTTATAGACTCTCGATATATAACTCTTTGTTTTGCTGTTGCATCGGTTTTTCATATTTAAAATATTTAAATGTTTAAATATTTTCAGAGAATTAGAAGATGATTTAAAAAACAATTAAATTAGGTTTATCTATTAAATTAGATTAATAAGTTACATTTGAATCATTGTTTTATCATCGAAAAACGCGGAACGGAAACTACGAACGGAAGCGGCTATAACGCTGCAATGCGCACAAAAACTTTGTCGACACGCGAGCGTTTCTCTGAATATCAATCATTTTCTCAGGGCTTTATAGGTAACAACTTGATTCTCTGGACAGTGTTCTTCGAATAAAAAAAAAGACATTAATTGGTGTTCACCTACTTTCCGTATACTCTGACTTTAACTCAATAGCTTTCAGGAAACTAAGGATCAGAAAAATTCACAGTTAAACCAAATTGTTAATTTAAAACTTAATTAAATTTTACTATCGATGAAAATCCAGAATACATTTTTGTAAAAATTATAAGAAACTCTATCGCCTATTTTTTTAAATAATGATAAAAATATGATTTCTCAGGGGATTATAAAGAAAATTGGGCAAGGAAATTCCTGAAGGTTCTTAATCCAAAAAGATTTCAACATAACGCAGCATGGTGCATGGCACGTGCGTAAAACATGAGTCATTCGCGTCCTGTAGCGTATATATCATAAAAAAGAAAAGGGGAAAGGAACATGCGGCTCCTATGATTTCGTCACTTTAATTCCGTTTCTTGAATATCAATGGCTCTCAACGTTTGCGTCCGATTGTATCCGAGTATTGATGCTTCGCTTTGGATATCTAAAGTCGCGCACGTCGCTTATGTTAGGACAAACAATGAAGCGATCGCGAATGTGATGCGAGTCACGCCGATCACGCGAATGCATCGAACGCGTGCGTACGAACAAAAGAATTAGGAGACGTGGATAACAAGACGCTATGTGCCACCGGAGGATGACGAAGAAACGGCGACATCGTCGTCGTCGTCGTCGTCGTCGTCGTCGTCGTCGAAGAACACGCGCGTACATAATTTACTCGCGACAACGATCATCCGCATAATTTACGGATCGCCGAGTCGACCCTTTCGTCTCTACGAACGACGAAGAAGCACAACAGTAGACTTTAAGTTTGTCCTCTGAATTGGAACATCGATTTATCCGGTGACATAATCTATCGACATAATAGCAAATAATCTAAGCAAGTAATTGGATTAATAAAAGAATCACGGCGATCATTCAATACATGAAAAAAATTTATTAAATCTTAATATATTTCCAGTAAATAAACATTCTCTCAAAATAAAAAATGAGTTAAATCAAATTAATGATTTTTATATCAAATAAATATATGTTTACATTTAGTAAATGTTTACTTAGAATTATCCGAACAAATATTTTTTTTAATTTGGTATTTTTTCAATGTATACATATAATAAAAATTGATTTTATTAACATAAAACTTATAATAGATATATCTAAATATTATAGATATGAATATATTTAATTTAACTTTGTTTTATGTACAGCATGAGCTGTGTATGAGGATTTCTGAAGTACTTATTTTTTATTTGAACTTCTCGATCAGAACTTGAAAATCGATGTGTCTAACGGAAATTTAACGCGATTTGTATTCGCAAGTTTTTAACATTTTCATAAATTAATCTCAATAAGAAACTGTCGTGGAATAAAACAGCGAGTGTCTCACGATTGATGCCACGGAAATCAATCTGTTTCCAAGGTGGAATTCTTTCTGGTGACTTTCTCACACTCGCCAGTTCCAATGTGACCGCATTCCGCGGGGAATCCGCCTATCAGACGCAATACTTCGACGGTATCCACTGAAACGCGAAAACGACGAGAGATTTCGCGAGCGATGCAGCGATCGTGTGATTCGATTTTTTTCAGGCCGCCGGGATCTTAAATTCCTCGAGGTTGACGCGTGGTTTCTCCACAGGAACAATGATGATTAAGGGAGATTAGACTAGAGGAATCCACATCGGGATGTGGTTAACGGTTACCAGAGGCCCTTGCACTCCTCAGCTCGACGCGTCATAAAGAATGAGCGATATTAACGTTTATATATACATACAGGACGCGCGGCCGCTTCCTTCTGCATCGTGACTCACGCGCGCGTCTGCTGATCTCCTCTGGCAGACTTTATAGTGCTGGAAGCACCGTAATCCATAAACTCGCACCAGTAGAATCGGTGAACACGACGGCTCACGTCGTTAAAGCCGCGTGGGCTCGTAAGGCGCTGAAAACGGTCCGTGCCTCGGGAACGCGAATGAAATATAGGCTTAAATTTTTTTTTAGATCCTTCTAAACTACATAACAAAGTGTGCCTTTTGAAATTAACAAAAGGATAATAAGAGATGCAAAGAAATTGAAAGAAAGAGCATAAGTTTTTTAATTAATCTCCAATATTATGTATTTTGGCAAAATTTTTTTTAGATTTCTTGTCAAAACTGCCGAATATTAGAAGTTTAATAATAAAAACTATCGTTATATGTATCTAACTG